TTTGTTCATTTTATTTAAAACTTATCACTTGATCATTTTACACCAAGATTACCTTTTATAAATGTATATTTTTTTCCTCTGGTTATTACATATTTAGTAACAACTACTTTTTGAACGTCTGAATGTTTATATTGAGTTATTTTTTGTCCTTAAGAAAAGAAAACCAACACATTCACTGAACATTTCATGATGAATTGAGCACAAAAAAATTATTTTTTTTCTTATTTTACTCATTTCCGAATATTATCATGTCTCACAAAAATTTCATTCTTAGGGAAGAATACATAAAAAAACAGAGGACTTTTCATGCCATTACCTGAAATAATAATTTAATCAAAAAAATTTCGGTACTATTCGGTTTCAAGGGCCGTAAAAAATCGCCAAACTATTGTCGATGCCAATGCTGCCAAAAATAATTGCAGCAACCCTAATAATTGCGGCAAGAAAGGAAGTATAAAAGTAAATAACTATTTAAGATTGATGTTTTAATTTAGATGAAAGGTTAATTTTGTATAATACTTTTTTATTATTATAATTTATATGAAAAAGGCTAAACATGACTGAATGGAAGCATAAGAGTAAATAACTATTTCAGATCATTGTTATAATTTATATAAAAATTGCTAAACATAACTGAATGGATGCCTGCATCACTATTTTGCTACCGACTTATCACTAAAGCATAATTTTATCTCGTTGGTTGTTCAAATGTAATTTTCTATAATGAATGATGCTTTTTCTTTGAAAATATTCTTTGAAAATATCTTTTCTTAAGGACAAAAAATAACTCAATATAAACATTCAGACGTTCGAAAAGTAGTTGTTACTAAATATGTAATAACCAGAGGAAAAAAATATACATTTATAAAAGGTAATCTTGGTGTAAAATGATCAAGTGATAAGTTTTTAAATAAAAATGAACAAAAAATTTCTTTTTGCAGGTATTGGTATTTATTAAAGAAATATTTTTAAATAGTCACAGTCAAAAGTAATCTTCTTTTAATTGTTAGACAAGTAACTGCACTGACCTTACTAACAGAAAAGGTTTCGGTGCTTGTCTGTAGCAGGGGTGACTAAATTTCATGTCTGCAGAAGCTGCATGTTAGAAGTCAAGAAAGTTTGAGAGCTGTAACTAGATTTTCCAAAAGCAAAAAGTACATATTTAAATCATTTTAAATATAGTGAAACAGGTTTCAAATAGATGAAATGTGTAAAGTAAAATTAATGAGAATTTCACGTTTTTTTTATTTAATTAATGTGGTTATATATAAATATAAGGTTCTCTTTTGTAACTGGGATCAGATTCAGAAATGTATGGATGTGTTCATATATGCATGTATATTATGTATGTGTGCATACATACATGTGTGTATATACATACATATGTATGTACACAGATTTGCATATGTACATACACATATTGTACATGCATACATATCTGAATCTGTTCCGATACAGAAAAATACCATACATAAATATATATTCTAATTTCTGCCATTTTATGTTTTATCTGGTCAGTATCTTCCAAATTTCCAGATATTCCATAATTTAACAATCACTCACTTATTTGTTTGCCCCTTTTTACAGGGTTCATAGCCACATTTCAGTTAAAAAAAATAAGTACCTATAAGCACTTTTCAAGCACATTTTAAGAAAAAAATAAGCACCTGTCTAATTACATCATACACAACTGCATAACCTTAAAAATTAGACTTGTAATTTAAAACATGAGAAATGAAGTACTTATTAAGAGAGAATAAGCATTACCTCAACCATGGAAAATAATTACTTTTTTTTTTTTTTTTAATTTTAAATAATAGTTCAATTTACAGAAATAGTTTACAATGAGAGGGAAAAAACTATGAAGAACTAAACTATATTACAAGATTTAATGATGAAATTTCAGTTCAAAATAGATAAAATAAATAATAATAAGGCATATTTATTGTACTCACTTGGAACATAATAATAAATACAATTTATTTTTCCACTCATATTGATATTTAAATAATTTAAATCTAAATTCTGAACATTTTCTAAATTTTCATTGTATATCAGTTTTCTCTTAACAGATATTGCAAGCGAAGTAATTTAAGTAAAAAAGAGGAACATTTCTGAAATCAGAAGACAGAAATTTGCTTCATGCAGTCAACAGTAAAAGCTTAACTAACCCTCATACTTGGAAATTGGCGAATATTCGGACAGTCGAGCGTAACTTGAAGGAGCGGAGGGGGGGGTAGACTGTAGCCGTTCTTTAGATTTTTCCGCTAAATAAATGCTTTTGACATTTCAATATGAGCATCATATAAAAATAACCAACAGAACTAAAAAATATTCTGCTTAGCAAGCACAGTAAAACTCTTTTAAGTTTTCATAAACAAATCTCGGACTGAACATCAAAATTAATTATCTCTGCAAAATATAGCAAACGTTATTGCGCAATATGTGTGCCGTAATTCTTCCCTATGTGATATTACGCAATCGGAATCAACAACTGCAGGTATTGGGAGAATAAAGAACTAAATAACTGGGGTATTTTTTATTCTAATTTTCAACAGACGGCGTTAAATTTCCGGAATAGAATCATTCTTTGCTTGGGTTGGTAGACCGCAGAACTTTTAGTCCTATTCAATCCAGATTGGAAAGTGACAAAAAAAAAAAAAAAGTCCGTTGCTTGTTTTGCAGCGAACTGTAACAGTTTCAATATTCAGGATATTCAGGATCTGTACTAAAATGAAATTATTTTGACTATTCAATTACTTTCCCTTTATTTAAGCCATTCCAAATATTATTCCTTAAAAAGCTAATCTGTGTTAAAACACAACCATTTTTGGAAGTTTACTATACTTCAGCAGTTACTGCAACTATGTTATTATAAACATTCATACATATGCTCATAATATAAGCATAATGATCATAATAAACACAAATATGAACTGACCAAGCAGAACGAGAATGAAAATTTTTAAGATCTTGATAGAAATTCAAATGTGTGTCGTATTTGGGTGGGAGGAAAAGAATGCCGAACGTAGCGGAATTTTCTACTGTTTTCGCAATTTTTTAACCAATAGAATGACGTGCACCTGTCTGTACTCTTCATGCACACCAAAGGTTATGTTAATACAGAGAAAGGGGGAAAAGCTATTTCCGGGAGTATGACTCCACATCTGACATTCCATATTAGGAAGAAAAGTTGTTTATTTAGTTTCGGCTTTAATACGAGGAAAAATAGCGCGTTCATTTAAAAAAAAAAAAAAAAGCACTAAAAGCAAAAAATAAGCACTAAAAACAAAAAAATAAGGGCTTTAAAGAAAAAGTAAGCACCTATAAGGGCCGGATGCCTGCATGGTTATTTTGCTACCGACTTATCACTAAAACATAATTTCATCTCGTTGGTTGTTCAAATGTAATTTTCTATAATGAATGATGCTTTTTCTTTGAAAATATTCTCGGTAAAGTGCAAAATCACTCACTAATTTGTTTGCCCCTTTTTACAAGGGTAAAAACAATTGGATTTTTGTCAATTTTCTTTTACTTTTTAAGTTAAAAAAGGTCGATGTGTACATAGATAAAGTCAAGAGTGTGCGCAGTGCCATTTTTGTGAAACTCTGTGATTTTTTTTAAAATGAAAATAGGTCGATGTGTACATGGATACCAAGTATGTGCAATTCTTAAAAACGCGTCAAGCAATGGGCGATTCTGCACTCTACCCAAAATTCTATTGCCGACTCTTCGTCATGGGCAATTCCCAAATTGTTAAATCCATAGGATATCAAAAAAGGATTTAAAATCAAAAAATAATTTTAAAATGAAACTAGTATTTCAATGGCGTCTTAAAAAATATAGAACTATATAAACTCACGCAATCTGAAATCAGTGCATACGCTAGATTTGGCGTGCTGTTAAATGGGCACGTTCGCTAGATTTTGCGCTTTTGCGCATACATTTTCGCTGCAATTTTTTTATGGCCCTCGAAACCGAATACAGTCAAAAGTCGTTAATTCGGACACCCATAATCCGGAATGATCTATAATCCGGACCTCAAAGCTAAAAACTTTCTGCGATGCGCTGTGTTGACACATGCGCATAGGCGTTTACGCGTGCGCGCAAGACCTCTTACAACTGCGCATTTGCGTGTGCGCAAGCGCAGAATACGTTTTCGCGTGCGCGTTTTATGTATAACGAATGGTATAAGCTAAAATTATCTAATTATCTATTTCAGTTAATGTTGATGATTGCATTGTGCCTTAATTTTCGAATTGGATCCGGCTTATTATTTTTTGCAGACTGTAAGAGCAAATACTATAAAAGTAAACTTGAACTTTCGATTATGTCAAATAGAATTTCCGAATCTGGAGCTCCCAAAAGATCGTACAAAACGAAAGTATGTTTCAATGTCCATCAAACAAAAAGTGGAATTGCTGCAAAAAATGGAAAGACATAAAGAATGTGACAGAGAGGTTAGTGAAAATGAAAAAATTTCGATTGACAAGTTAGTTGGTATTCTCGGCACAGCAATTAACGGGACTTGAACAGCGGAACTTTGTAACTGAACAAAAAATTATGTATGTTTATAGAATTAAAGAGAAAGTATTATCACATAAAACGAAGCAACTTAAACAACTTACATTGAAAGAAATTTTTAAAAGTAAACAAATAAATATTAAGCTTTTTTTAGTAAATTTTGATACCCTTTAGACCATAATTGTTCTTTATTTCATAAATTACGGTTTCATATTTTTAATTTTAGAATTTCTGCATGCCATCTTACGCGATTTAAACTGATGATCTATAATCCGGAATCGCCGAAGTCCCGACGAGTCCGGATTAACGACTTTTGACTGTAGTAACAAATTTTCATGTGGTACTTAGAACATTTTTTAGTATTTCCAGTGGTATTTCAAAATCGATTTACTCATAATCTGCTGTAAATGTGCTTTAGAAAAATATTAAAATACATGAGATTAATTATTACCAATAGCTTGAACTCAAATATTCACCTGAACAAAGATCTTCAACACGCTTCACATTCTTTCCCAAGAGTGAATTTACCCAATGAAGTAAATCCATTCGACTCAAATTCTCAACTTGATTTGTTGTAATAACATTTATACACAAATTCTCCTTTCTATCCATCTTTTAACAGTAGCGAAATTTTACCTTCAAGATAAAAAAGGTATTAAACATTAACCAATTTACATTACATCAACTATAAATACTTTACTTTCATTTAAAAATGAAATTAAAAATGCAACATGCTAATGTAATTTCAAGACTGACAATCTTAAAATTGCTTAGTTTCTTCATTAATCTACTACAATTTTCTTTAAAAAAAAAAGAATACATTATTTACAGGATGCATTAAAAACTATACTGGAAGTAATCTTTCAAAAAAAATTTAATGAAAAGATGTAACAGGTGGGTCGACTGGGAGGAATCCAGGCATTCTGACTAGGTCAATATCTAGACAGACTTGACTTGAACAGTCTTCACAGTGACCAGAGCCATCGTTTATTCGGAGGTAGGTTCAGGCTCAGCAGGAACCATATGGTGCTGTCTTGTCTGCCCCTTGGTTGTGGGCACACTACATGATTTGATATCGAAGGCTGTCCTTGGGGTCCTTGGGGGGTAGTCAACACTGGGGGATGGTAAATGTCAAACAAGCATTCTTTGAGTGTTCGGTGGATTCATAGTTGTCCACCATTGTGACTTTTTGCAAAATTACCCAGACTTTGTGAGATAATAATTGTCCCCCTGGGTCGACTGGGGGAGGGCTATGCCTACTTGGATCACCTCTACGGGTTGAGGAGTTTAACCCTCTTGCTGCGCACCCCGCGATTTCCACAGGCAAGCAGAAGTAGAAAAATTTGCGCATCCCGCGATTTCCACAGGGATGAATTTTTGCCGTCTATTTAACTGTGCAACCCGTTCTTTCCCCATTCAAGGTTTCCTTTCTGCTTTTCTCTGATATTTAATTGTTTATTTAGATGTGGGCTAACAGATGGCGTTAGTTGTCCACATTTCTGCCAAATATACAAGAATACGTAATGTAGCATTTTTTAGAGCTCAAAGATGTCTGGGAGGAAGCGTTTCGCGAGTGATATAACCTACATTCCTGATGATATTTCGGACACTGATAGTAGTTCTGATTCTGATTTCAAGTACAATGAAGATAGTTATAACGAAACTGATGAGAATTTCTTGGATTCCTCTGCAGATAGTGATGAATCTGAAAATTCGGTTTCTATCGAAAATGTTCGACAGTGGTACAAAATTAATATGCAAAATATTACTTTATGCAAATATTTTCATTAGCATATTTTACCTTTGTATTTTATGAAATAAATCATAATTTAACCAATATTAATTTTTAAAATTTTCTTTTTATATCATTATTCTTCGATTTCAGTATTCTGACAACCTTTTTCTATGACCTAATTCTATATTGAAAAAAACACTTTTTTACAAAAAAAATTTTGTACAATTTAACCCTAAAATATATGTAGATTTGAAATATGTAATAAAAATATGCAATTTTTGAACCTATTTTGATTAAAAAAAAAGTACACAGTTAGAGGGTTAACTGCGTTAAGGCAGCCTCGTGCTAGCCAGGTCTGGGTGCCCCTTCCTTCTAGTGCACTGTAATAGGTAGACCACTGAATTCAATCTACTTTTCATGAATATACTCCCAGAAGTACATATTTTTTCCCCAAGAATCACAGACAAGTTTCCATGAAATAAAATATCATCAAAATATTCATTGCAAAGTTGAAAACATTAATAATCCTTTCAAGGTTGCAGTTTCTTTCACATAGATCGGAAATCATTCACAAAAGCAAGTCCCATGGCAGTAGCAAACAATACTTTAAAAGCCTTGGCTCCAGCATTTTTGTCACACAAGGCAATTAGTATAGTTTGTACCCCATAAATTAAACGTGCAGTAGACACTACTTAACATGATCAAGATTGTTATTATTTGGATTACTTGTTATCGATTTGCTGAATTCCATACGTTTGTATTAAAAAAGTGGAAAATACATCACCTACTGTGACTGATAATTCGATTTATATCATCAAACAAAATACAAAATAAATTTTTTGAACTAAAATAACATCACCAAATAAAGTTAAGGTACTTACGTATTAACGCAACAGGCCAAAATTTGCATAAATCGCCAAATTTGGTGACCCTACTTATGGCAACCCTACGTGTTTAGACGAAAGTTTATTTGTAAAAAGAAAAAATAACACTGGGCATGTACTACCACAGCAGTGGGTTTTCGGCGGAATTTGCCGAGAAAAGAAAGAGACTTTTTTGGTTACTGTACCTAGCAGAAGCGTCGTTACCCTCATGGAAAAAATTTGCGAAAATATCAAGGAAGGAAGCATCATTTATTCGGATTGCTGGAAAGGATACAATACAAGTGAGTTCGAAAATGCTGGATTTCTGCATGGAACTGTTAATCACAAATATAACTTTGTGGATCCCAACACGGGCGTTCACATACAACATGTAGAGCACATGCGGGGCTCAGCCAAATGGCACAACAAAAAACAGAGAGGAACAGCCCGTCATCATCTTGACTCATACCTTATCGAATTTATATGGCGCCAAGTTCAAGTTGTTAATGGCGAAGACGGTTTTTAATCAGTGCTAAAAGCAATAGCCAAAAGATTTCCGCCGAAAAAATAATTCTGAAACTTATTCAAATTCGAAACTGGAAGGGTTTAATTGCTATTTTATATTTTAAAACAAAATAATATAAAAAACTGTATTAAAAATTATCTGTAATTAATAAATGTACATTTTCTTTCTATTCATACTTTTTTACTCAAACTTACAAATCGCGCCAACCTGGTTGCGATAATACGTAAGTACCAAAGTTAAAATAGATTATAAAAATCATCAAATGACAGAGAAATGTTTCAAAGTGAACAGTTAAGTAACCAAACAGCTTGGTCTTGATCTCACTCAGCCATTTAAAATTAGGCTAAAAAGCAACTTTAATGTCGTGGAGATTTTGAATAACTGTCAATTTTAAGAGTGATCGAATACAAGTAATTCTTAAGGAACAAAAATAATTCTCTGAAAACATCTATGACAAACTAAGTCTGCTTCTTCAATTAAGTTTCTATTGGCATGTTCTCTTTCAATGACGGATGCCTTCTGAATATTAAGGGTACAGCATTGGTGAAACAATTTCCAAAAGTACTATAAACAATTCACTTTTGCACTAAAGACATTATGAACAATTCATAAACTTTTGTCTTTTCCTAATTTGCTATTAAAATACCTATTTATATATTTCTTTAGGTTTTTATATTAACTCTTTTACTACTATGGGCACATATATGTGTCTAGCCACTGGTGTGGGCTACGGATGCATATGTGCATCCGACACAAGCCTATGATGTAGACTATGTGTGTAGACTATGATGCAAACACACACCTGGCAAAGGCTTTGGCTGTTTATTGCTCTCTCATGTTATACGTTCAGAAATTATTTCTATTGCACATGTCAAACACTTGTGAAAAACCTCATACCTCGTTCGTTGCTTAGTAAGGAGAACAAATGAAATCTCATTTATTTGGTAAGCCATTCTGCGGCCGCACACTGCTCACGTGAGCACCTTAACTTAAAACAGTTAGCAGTCACAGCGTTAAATTAGTTCAATTTGATTGTTATTTTGAAGAATATTTTTTATCATTGTTTAATGTTCTCAAAATAGCCATGGACAAATAATCACACACAAAGCGATGCCTACTGTTTTAATAATTCAGAGCAAAACATACCTTGTTCTAGCTACCGTATACAAGAATAACTTAGTTAGCTCGGCGAAAAGTGACACCTTTTGCAATTTTTGCATATGGGCCAGCCTTGTTCCTTTGCCACTTTTTGGTAAGATTTTGGGGCGATTTTTTCCCCCTTTTTAAATTAACTGTCCAGATTTAAAGAGTGAATTAAGTTGTCACTTTTCATGTGGGATTACCATAATCTCAACTTAATTTTAAGTGCTGTCATTCATCGAAACATAAATCATTAGCAGCTTTCAACTTAAAGATGCAAGTTTAGTTAATTTAATCCTCTTAGCAACTAAGGTTTTTGCCTCTAAAACCCTCAAATTTGCAGAAAGGTATAAGTAAATATTATTTATTATAATTCCACAATCATCCTCCCATTTTGTACGTTGATTCACTTTCTTCGAAAATATATGCATTACTTTAATTCTCTGGAGATATATCATCTTGCATGTTTTTGTACTTAAGGGTCTCGGATAAATATTTCTGAGCATTACGTATGGCTTCGTCCCTTTGGAAGATAAAATATTCCAATTATGTTAAAAATAATTCAGGCCATTCCCATTTCCAAATGTAACATCACATATGAGCAAATTTCTGCACTTCTACACAGACATCGTAAATGGGTTGCAAGGTCCAAATATGAGAAGCGACTTTGATACGCCTGGCCTAAAAGTTTAGAGAAACATATTAACAAGGTCCTTTTAACTATACAAAAGTAAGCCTTAAATTCACATTAATAAAACGGAAATATCTGTCCCAAATAAGGAATTTGTAACAGAATATCCTGAAATGCAAATATACTTTGAGAAAATTAATATATATACCTAAATTTGTTAAATTTTGAAATAATCCAAGAAGTTATACACTACACATAAGGTAAATTGATGGATAATTAGGTGCTAGAAAACTTGTTAAATAATTTTAATAGTTGTGTATAACATAAACCATTTAGAAGCCCAAAGTTGTTGTCTTTGCTTCATGATATTCATGTATTAATTTACCTTTGCATTCAAACTGATAAGTGACTTGAATCTTATATTACAATGCTTTCAACAGTGCAATTTATGAGTACTTATTTATATTAGGTTAAGAAACATAACTATCTTTACACTGTTTTCGTTTTTTAAACAAATTATTCAATGAGATGATGTAATCTGTCTCTCTATGTACAGTTTCCATAGTTCATTTAGAAGATGAACTGTTTCATCTTCTCAATGTGTAACATGAAAATATATCAGGAGTTCTCAACCAGTAAGAATGCCGTAGTTTCAGAAGAAATGCAGTCAACCTTTTATTTACCTGTTAAGTACTTAGTTTTGGTCTCTGAATATAAATAAAAAATCTAATTTTATTTGAACTTTCGTATTTATCAACATTTTCTATACTTTTTCTTGTCCAAAAATTCTTGTTCTTAATTTCTGGTTTATAAAACACATTAAAAAATAATCTAAATTTAAATAAATATATATTTATTTTTTGAGTTTTGGAAAGGACGGAGGGGGATGATCGATCATCTAGCAATAATGAAAGGAGTGCATGGAGAAGTTTGAGATGCACTGAACTAGATGGATATTCATTCATCGCCATAGACATAGAAAGATTCCTTTTGACACATTAATCATACATACAGTTTGCAAAACTAAAAAATTACGCGCTATATTATAAATTAATGATAAGCAGATATTTCTCGCATTTCTGTTTTTGTTTTATTTGCTCTCCCCTTTCAATGAAGTTTAAATAAACTAATAAATTTAGATTACAAAACTTCTATGGCGATTTAATAAATGGTATTTAAAGTAAGTAAAAATTTCACAGTAAATAAATTGAAAAAAACTGCTCATGTATGCAATATTAATCGAATTTCATCTTTAGGTTTCTTATTAATTACATTTATTATACATGCGCATGACTAAAAAAATAACCGCTTTCCATCCCTACTTATCACATTGTTAAGTAACTACAAAATCACAAAAGAGAGATGAATTTTAAAGAAATTTTGAATTTTAAAGAAAATCTGAAAAAAGGAGACTAATAGAATGAAGCATAATATGAAAGCAAACAAAAAAAAATTGTGCATTTTAAAATATGGGAAGTATTACAAGGAGGAACACTTAAACAGTCTTTACATATGAAAGCGATATACAGAATTAAACAAAAATTAAATTAATTAATAACCTGAATTAAATAAAAACACTGCTATCACGCAACGAAACTTCAAACAATTTAGTGAGAATTCCGTCTTTAGCAGTGCATTCGTTAAAAGCAACTAAAAGTAGCGCCTTTTTACTTCTTCTTCTCCTCCGCCGTTCTGAACAGGGACAAATAGCAAGGAGGTTAGAATAGAAGGAGGGAAGGTTCAACTCAAACGGTGAGGCTTGGCGGCCATGTTCCTGCTATCGCTGTGACTTGTGAAAGAAGTCTTGTAATTGCAATATTTTTTTTTTTTTTTTTCTTTTTCTTTTTGAAGCATGTCAGCTTGTGTTGCATATGGATACACAAACAGATTTTCGAAAAACATTCCTAAGATTACTTCTCGTTCGTAAGTATTGATTTTCTTTTCTATGTAATTTGATAAATATGTTAAAAAATATCTCAATGTCATGTTGTCTTCTTTCCAGATGTGAAACAAAAGTACTTAATAATAATCAAAATACCTTAAATACATTTTAATGTTTCTGTTTATAGCTGGTATCTTCGTTCCTTAACATAGATAGAATGATATATGCTAGGATTTAAACTCTATAATTAGGTAATTCGTTTTATAATTTTCTTTAAGAGTAAGACACCAATTGTTACTATTTTTATGGTTTTTAAAGGTATTAAATAAAGTAATGCTTTTCTTTATGTATTAATTATTATTCAATTTAAAATTTTTGAACTGTTAAGAATATAATTTGTGCATTTGATCAAGATAAACTAACTTTTCTGTTGTTAAAATGTTTTTGCATAAATTTAAAAATTTGTGGGCAGTATAGCAATAAAAGTAAGTAAAATATTTACACAACTGAACATGTGGAAAAATGTATCCAAAAATATAGGTATATTTCTCTAATTTAGCTTAATTCAAGGCAATTTCTTTCAGATTCATAAATATGAAACGCGCATAAACTGAGACACCACAGGCGAATGTTGAGAGCCGTATGCTTAGGATCGTTATCATGATTAAAAACAAAGTTGTTTCCAATACCCAAATTTTGGGCTGATAATTTTAAATTGTCTCTTAAAATATTTAAATAAATATTATTATGCCATCAACGAATGCCAAATTACTTAGTCCTGATGCTGCCATGCACTCCCACATAAGAACACCTCCGTCGCCCTACGTAAATGTTAAAATGGATAAGGTTCGGAGAACAAACAGCCTTAACTCCAAAACGGGGAGAAATAGCTTATTATGGTAGACCATGTTATGGTTGTTATCCGATGACGTACTTCTTCTAGGAGGACAGCGTGATACTTTTTCCCTGCTAAGGGATTATCCGTAGCAGCAGATCGGGATACGTATTCGGAAAACATTATTATTGACTCTAGTCTGGACACCTTCGAGATAGAAGAACGGATCGTTTATTGCGATCTACTCGACAGAGAGCGAGTCTGGTGTCATCGTCTCGATCATTACAGAGATCGACGAGTCGGAAATTTTTCCGTCAGCTGGACAGCTGCCGTTTAAGGGCCCGATTCATGACATTTTTAACCACAGCGTTAAGTGATTTTTACGGAATCACGTAGTACTCTGACGTCACAAGTAGTTAAATCGCAAGTATTGGTATTCTCATCAAAGCTAGCGTTACACACACAGATCGTATTTTATTCTCGAGTGTCAAGATGTAGAAACATCTTTTTACTCGACTTCTGATAAAGATCGGGAGGGGGGAGAAAGAGAAGAGTGAAAGGAGTGTGGGAGGCAGATGAAAGAGAGTGAGGTCCGCACTAGCGGCGGCGAAAAAAGCGGGGGTGTCAAGTTCAGTGTCGTTATAAGATGCAGCCGCGGGTGCATCTTATAACGCCGCGGGTGCAACCGCAGAGTCAGTTTTGCGTGAATGAGTGAATTAAGGTTGTGAATCCTATGTGGGGAGGATATCACAAGGGTAGCGATGTTTTTCTCTGGGACGCGGGGAGTGTCTGAGAGTGCTAATAAGGCTATTACTGTGGGTTTGTACTGAATAAAAGAAGTTGACGCTAATCGTTTAATATATCTTGAATAAGTTCCATTCGAAGGTCTCTGTGGATGTAGATGTTGGGAATTACCAAGGAGCATTGATAATTTCTCGTAAAATTTATTTTTGTAGAATTGTAATTGTTTAATATTGGTTTAGCTGCATGCCCCCAGATCGGTGCTGCATAAGAAGAGCTGGGCGCGTATGGAGCGATATAGAGTTAATTTGTTGTAGTAGATAAGTGCTTTTCTACCAAGAACAGGTCGCATAGTAGCTGTGGTGATTTTAAATTTTTGTACTACGGACCAGAAATGGGTTCTGAAGGTAAGTTTTTGGTCAAGGGTGACTCCAAGGTATTGGTTTCATTAGTCAGTCTATTTCTTCGTCAAAATTTAAGGGGGTGGAGGATAGTATTTCATGTTTCCTTTACGGAAAATTATGCCTTAGTTTATCAGTGTTAATTTAATCCTCCAAAGGGTAAGCCAATTTTTCCAGTTTTATGAGATAGCTTTGGAGTTGGTTTCTTACGGCGATAACAGTGCAGGCTTTAGTAAGTATGGCGGTGTCATCGGCAAAGAGTGCAAGATGAACAGAAGGTCTTTTAGGGTATCTTGTGTATAAATATTAAAAAGGTACGGCGAAAGTGCCGACCCCTGTGGGACACCAGCATTGATTACTCTGGTGGTAGAGTATGCAGTACCGATTTTGATTCTGAATGTTCTGTTGCTGAGAAAAGAGGCTATTAAGCGAATAAAATGATCTGGAAAATTGAGAGTGATTAGTTTGTAAATAAGTCCTCGATGCCATACCTTGTCAAAAAGCTAGCGTTAAATTTGACCGTTAAATTGACGAGACGGCTGTTAAAGTAAGGACAGGTCTGACCCTTCGTGTTAAATAAGCAGATGATTATATTCCGGCAATAAAACATGGCGGAAGGTTTTGCGTCAGTTTTAGCTGAAGCGTATTGGATGAAATAAGTCGAATTTCTCTGCGCGGCAGCGAATTTCCGTGATCGAAGCAATGCGTTCGATTACATACAATATAGACAATGGATAATTAATTATTGTCAAGATAATGAATTCCGGGCCCAGGAGAGCGTCGTTGGGAGGTAAGTTCGCTTCGTATTTTCCATAGAATGTTAGAAAAATTACTCTTCGTATTTCAGAATGTGTATTTTTTTCACGTCACTTATTGACGATCAAATGTTGTATAAATACAAATGAATTGCGGAATATGCATGTGTTTGTCAGAGTAAAATTATCGCCAATACTGTTTGTGTGTTTCTTTACTAATCGCAAATAGTTTATGCGTTTGTAAAATGTATCTACATTTATGTAAATGTGTCTGAGTTATCACAAAGGTTAAAAGTGATGTGCCTTATTTTATTTAATTTTACTGTAGATGATAATTTAAAGTAGCATTCTATTTGATTCTAATATATTGTCGCCAAATCTGTTAGTTGGCGCCAGTGTTAAAAACTTGATAGGTGATCTAAATTATAAATAATTATGTTTTCTTTATAGTGAGATATATTATGTATTTTTTAGGAATTTGAAGACGTTAAGTATTAATTTAAATATTCGACAAATGTTTTGAGCCCATTATAATGCATCTAGTAGTAGATCTTCATGTCATTTTTAAGTATACTTACTTTAAATTATTTAATGTGTGAACAGGAAATATGTTTTAAGTAGTTTAAAAATTATTCTATTTTCTTATAAAAATTAAAATTTATCAGAAAATGCATTCTTAAAAGTGTGATAAATTCATTTAATACATGGAACTGTTATGAATACTAGTGCTTTAGAATTAATGTTAAATTTCATGCATGCTTTTGTTAATTTGCGAGAGTACATTTTAGAAAATCAATTGTCATAAATTTGTCGTGGAAGATCTCATGTTCAGCTAAATCAAATTTACTTTGGACCTTAAATTTGGGCACCGATAGTGAATTGTTGGCATATTCATAATTTGATTGGAAACTTAGTGCACTGTAAAAGAATGATCAAGATTTTACCTTATTATTGTAATGACTTGCAGGATTTTTACAATGTGATGTTGCATACGTTTTTCTTCTTTGTTATCAAATACATAAAAGAGTATATTCTAATCTGATTTTCTTCTTTTATAAGAGTGTAATATATCATAATGTGATACTTGGGATTTTTTTTTAGGAGTATTTTTTTTTTTTTGACATGCTAATAGAAACCAGTGTATTTTATTTACTTGTTGCTTTAAAATCAGGTTTAAATCAAGGCTATATTTTTCTGCCTACTCAGTATGCACATAAAACTTACTTAAGCTATATTTTAACAAAATTAATGAGTATATGTTTAGGTTAGCTGCTTTCATAGAAAAGAATAAACTAAAATGATATACCTTGAAACATTTTATGAAAATAAGAATATCTTAGCAGTGTTGGCTAAGATTTATTCAGACCTTTTTTTTAAAATTATTTTGATATTTCCATATACATTCATTTAAATAGATGGTGTGGTGTATTTAATTTGGCAAAGCACACTAGGGCTATTGCTAAGGGGAGGGATGCCTTCGTGGAAGACTTTCTAAGGGACTGGCTCGTATACACGTTACACAGGGGAAACCACGAAAACACCCATGCAGCCAGCCCGTTCGCGGGATTCGAACACGGACCGAACCCAGTGTCAGCAACTTTACCGCTCGGCCGCTGGTAGGGCCCATTTAAATAAGAACCAGTAAAGTAAAATCATTCTATATAAAGCTGTTGATAATGGAATGAATTGCACTACATTAAGAAAAAAAAGTGAAAAAAATTCTGTTTTTGCATTATTTTCACTATCTGTGTTTTGCATATGCTTGTTACAAGAGGCCATAATCTATAGATCTGTAGCTAAATGATTTTTTATGTTTTACATATGGAAATTAACTAATAAGAAGAACTGTGATCAGAGTCGTAGCTAGGGTTTTCAGCGCCCAGGGAAACTGAAGATTTCGCGCCCCCTACTGCTTGCCAAGGATGGAAACATTTAATTCTAAAATGTCGTAACATCAGTTTGACGCCCTTGGATTCTGCGCCGGGGACAGAGCTCCCTTGCCCCCCTCTAGCTACGCCCTGACTGTGATTTAGCATTGCCCTTGCTGGTATAGATGATCTTAATAGGTTATGATTATCATTAAATTCAGATAAGTGACTATTAACAGCATATGTATGTTTTTTCGGTTGATCTTACATTATGGTCTGGC